AGTGCCCACGCGGGTGCTTGGCAGATGCGGGGGTCTGGGGACCGTGGTGCTCGGCCCCGCTCGGAGTCGGGGCGCCGGACACCCGCCCCTCGACGATTGCGCCCCGGGGGCGACGGCAAGGGAGTCCGCCCCCCCGGTTAGTCAGGGTCGCTTCTGAGTCAGGGCGCGCGGTTTGGGCCCCGGCTGCGCCTGAGCGACCCTGTCGGGCGATCGGGACATCTTTCGTGCTAGCTGGGCCGTGACTTGAGCTCTCCGAGCCGGTCCTTTTCCCTCTCTCTCCTCTTTTTCTTAGTGGTCCTGTGTTGTTGTTTTTTCCCCCGATGGTAAGGCTAAACCGTTTTTGGTTCATTGCAAGGCGCCCAGAATCTCAGTGTTCAAGTTGGGTAGCCGCATATGTTTCTTAAATAAATAAATAAAAATAAATAAATAAACGTTGGATCTGGTGTGTTTTAGGGGCCTGGGAGCTTTTCTGTCTAACAAGGGCTGTAAAAATGAATGAATAATGCAAATAGCAAGTAATTGGGAATATAGATTCACATGTTTGGTGGGGATAAGATATTGTTATCCTGTCCTACTGAATTTGATAAGGTAATCCTTTGACGTACAGAGGTGTGATGTTCTTCTGGAAGTGATTCTTCTTTATAACCTGTAACAATTGCTCATAAGGTAGGCATTCAGCAAGGCCAAGTTTCTCTGCATTCCTAAGTGTCACCTGCTGTTTTTCCTTTTGTGTATGCAGCTGTGAAAGCACAGAAGCCTTATGTTCAGTAAGATGTGTAGGCTTAGCATGCCTATTTTGGATCTTTGGAGAGTGATAAAACTGCAAAAGGTTGTGCTCTGAGAATGGTCTAGTTTGCTGTGATTTTCAGAGGGGATATCTGAGAACTGCAAATGGGACTGGGGAAACACAGATGAATCAATGCTTAGTTACCCACGTTAAAGGGGTCTTTCTGTTTTAGGAAGAAAAAGCTGTGAAGGTAAGGAAGAATTGGGATTGTAGTAGCGGTGCAAATTTTGGAACTAGGATAGTGGAGGTGGCCATCTGATCTTGCATTGAATAGGATCAGAAGTACAATGAAAATGTTAGGCAGTGGTTTGAAAAGCTCTTGTGTAGGTAATCCCTCTGTCCATCTCTTCTTTCTCTTTCTCCAGCTCTTCTCAGTCTAAGCCACCGCTGCGCTTACTACAATGGGGCTCTGTAAATGCCCCAAGAGGAAGGTCACGAACCTGTTCTGTTTTGAGCATCGAGTGAACGTCTGTGAGAACTGTATTGTTGCTAATCATGCCAAGGTAAATGGAAATAGTACAGAGAAGGGAGATGCTTTGAAATGAGAGTCCAGAGAATTTAGAAGGGTGATGCATTGTACTAGCAGGATATTAAACCATACAATCTATGAATGGGAAAGGACCTGAGGGGTTACATAGTCACAGGATACAGGACAAATTGGAATGTGTATTAAATTCTTAAATAGAGAGAATTAATTGAACTCTTAATTAGCTTCTTTTGCCAATTAATTAGAAAGCATGCTGCTTTGGATTCATTGGTATACATTCAGTTTAGTTCCAACAGATGAGGGCCCCCCTAAGTATTATGGTGACCCTGTACTTCCCTGAGCATTGAAGCCCCCAAGTCTGCCTTTCAGTTGCTTTCCAGTTCCTGAGCTGGTCTACAAGTTGATTCGTCTCTGGAGGTAGGACAGACCAAACTAGAACCTGATCTATGCTGCCAAGAACCACATGTATACATTTCTTCCTGTGTTAGATTTTGATTGCTGCAAATCACCTTGAAAACTGAAATGAGGTGTTTTAACATTAAAAACAAATGTTAGCAACTTGCTTTTGATACAATTATAATTCTGCTCTTCTCTTTCCCAAGCACTCCTGGTATGAGGGTTAACGTTAAAATTCACATATACATAGAAAAGCAGTCTAATTTTTTAAGCTCCTTTTCTGCAGTAGTCTTCCTGGGTCTGATTATCATTGTCAAGTTTTGTCTTTGGGCTAATCTGATCAGATTAAAAACAAAGGTTCACATCACCTGCAGCAGCTTTTTAAAAACTTGGGCAGAACTTAGGGGTTTGGGACACCAGCTCTGTTGCAGAGTGGTTTCCCAGATCTGATTTTTTTTTTCTTTTTAAATAGCAGTGGTATAGAGTCTTTCTTAGGCCAAGGGCCACATTAGGTCTCCTAGTAGCACATCCCAAGCCAGGTTCTTGAAAGTGGATGGGCAGCTCAATTTGATTTAATTTTATCCAGTCAGTGATATCCTCTGCATGTGCTAGTAATTTGACTTTTCTGCCACATTAAAATAATAGGATTTGGGAGAGACAGCCTAGGCTTAGTGGGGCCATAGGTTGTGGGTACACATGTCGCGCTGACTTGCTGTCCTAAGATTGTCTCCTCCAATCTCCTTTCCTAGGGCAGGTCCTCCTTAGCGGGGGATGCCCAAGATTCCAATTGGAACATGAAATTCCACCATTGATCTCTGGGTCCATTAAGTAACAAAGCTGCTTTTTTCTGAAACACCCCCTGCCCCACCCTAATTTCTTCTGATCTTGTGTTAGCTTCTCAGCTTAGCCACTCACAAGGTTCTTTCTACCTGGATTCTTGAGCTCTTTCTCACTAGGGTTGACTTAGCATTTTTGGCATATGCCACCTTTCTCTTTGCAAAATAATCAGGCTGCCCCTTCCTATTTCCACCTGCTGCCCTTTGCACCAATTTTTTTTTTTTTCCTGTGCTTCTGTTTTTTCAGTGCATTGTCCAGTCGTACCTGCAGTGGCTTCAAGACAGTGATTACAATCCCAACTGCCGTTTGTGTAATACTCTTCTTTCCAACAAAGAGACGGTTCGGCTTGTGTGTTATGGTCAGTAGAAACTCTCTGCGCATTGTGTCAGAGAGGCTTCCCCCTCTGTGGCTCCCTAAAATGCTATCTTGGGGAGGGTGCATTTGGGTTTTCCTCTCCCACCCTTTAGGAGACTGGCAGAAATGTATCCCTTTCGCCAAGCTTTAAAGTGTTCAGTAGATGTTAATTATCCAGGGTTTGATTATTTTACTGGATTGTCTTGATTTTACTGTCATTTTTTGTGGTTTGATTGTTCCAAGCTGCCTTGAGTGTTTGTACATAGAAAGAGAAAGAAATGTAGTGATAATAAATATTAATAAATGAACTGGAAGGGCCAGCCCCCTGGATGTTTTGGCAGTCCTCCAATAAATTCATCCTTCTGGTCTGACATGTCAGTGCTGTTGTTTTTCACGGGCTCCATGCAGGGAAGAATGGGAGGACTTTAATGGTGGAGGTTAAAGAAGAGAGGGTAAGATTGTGACTCATTAGTAAGCTGCATTTGACGTTATGATTGCATTTGCACATAACGTTAAACCAGGATTTTTAAAATGTGGTTTGTTGAAGAATCTACAATAGCTTGATTCGCACATAATGTTAAGCTATAATGGCTGCATTTGCACCCTGCGGTACATCTGAAAGGAACCCAGTCCTTTTATGGGTTAGTGTTTGTATCCCAGGCCAGCTTGAACTTGTGTAAGAAGAATCTGGGCTAAAAATGTGATTTAACTGGGAATCTCAGTGAGAGACAGCCCCTAGTCAACCTTGGCCAATCTCAAAAAGCTAAGAAGGTCAAGCTTGGGTAGTACATTGGAGAGGACACCATCAAAAATCCCAGAGCTCTAGGCTAAATGGGGAAGCTGAAAAATCACCCCACAGTAAGGCACATTCAACCCCCCTTCTTAATAGTTACCAAGAGAACTGCAAGGTTGTGCCACTAAGAGTTATCAACAGCTTAAGAACGTCTTTATTGAATTGAGATGTTCTCTTGCCTGCGCTTTTGCTCACTTGTCAACATTGTACTTGCTTTCTCCTGCAAATGGCATTTATTGATATCAGTAACAAATAGCATCATAAAATAGCATTACATTATTGGCACTTTGCTCAAAAGCCATCCCTTTAAGCAGAAACAGGGTTGTAGCCTCCAGCCAGAAGCTCTTTGCAGTTGTGCACAGATCCTCCAAGGCAGGATTTACCCAGCTGCCCCTCTTCTCTCTAGATCTCTTTCACTGGTCCTGCCTCAACGAGATGGCCAATCAGCTGCCGCAGAACACGGCCCCCGCTGGCTATCAGTGCCCCTCTTGCCAGGGGCCGGTCTTCCCTCCCACCAACTTGGTCAGCCCTGTTGCGTCTGTCCTCCGAGAGAAGCTCTCAACCGTCAACTGGGCTCGGGCTGGGCTCAGGCTTCCCCTGGTAAGAAATTAATCTTGCAATCATTTTGCTGCTTTGTTGCCAATTTTACAGCACCAGGCTGTAAACCTTTAATCTGGTGTTTTTTCAGCCGTTGAGAGCCTCAGGAATGGTGATGAACCATTGAGGGCAGGGGGTTGGATTTGGATTTGGAGCTCGGTGTTTCCAACCTTTGATTTTGTCTATCTTTTAAAAATAGCTATTTTTTAAAAAAAATTCCCTGCAGAATACCTCCCTATAATTATTTGGCAGCTTCAGTTCTGGTTATGCACCTTGGTGCTTTCAAAGGGAGTTTTTGTGGGGCCTTTCACAGGCAATTCAGATGCTCATGGGACTTTAGAGGTCCCCTAGTCCAACCTCCCTTCAGCACAAACATGCACTAAGTCACTCTAACCAGTGGCAGAACTAAAAGAACAACAACAAAGGTCCCTAACCAAGTACTGTACCAGAATGTGGGTGATTTGCACTAATTACAGCCCCTGGGATGAGCTTGTGTAGGAAAGAAAGAAGCCTGATGGGAAGAAAAAGACTTCATAAAATGGAAGAGGCATGCTTGATCCAAACGGCTGGTGCTGGAACGGGGGTTGCAAGAAAAAAGCAAGTGTGACTCCCTTCATCAGTCAGGAGCTGCCTTTCAGATCCCTTTTTCTCTCTCAGGCAGTTGGTCTCTTTGTTCATGGGAGGAGCAAGGAAACGGGTTGCACACACTGACTGCCAGGGTTGTAAGTGAACCCAGAGGGGCATATCCCTTAAGAATAGCTGTGCCAGCCACAGGCAGGAAATGATCAGCGTTGGGAGCAGCTTTTAAATTATTTATTTTCCCCTTCATTCAGGCCTTGCCTGCTCTCCAAAAGTCAAGCCAGATTGACTCTGGACAGCAGGGTCAGATGGTTAGTAGTGCTTCCCATGAGGAAATCCCAGGGTGATAAACTAGGCTGGGAAGTAAAAACAATAATAAAAGAAATCCAAGGAGGAGGCATGGGAATGTCTGTATTGCTGCCTAGAAAACTACATAAACCTGTCTGTGATGTCACCAGGAGTCGAACAAAACTCAGAGGAGCCTTCACTTTGACTTCAGAAGCCGCTTACATTCCAGATTCCGCCCTGATCATTAACCTCCATCTAGTTTTCGCTTTCATTCTGTTTAGATTGATGAAGTGGAAGCCGCTCAAGACACAGATTCTCACCACGCCACTGAGTGCAGTGACTGGTCCAGTTTCACAGGTGAGTACATGGAGTCAGGAGCCAGACGGGGACAGCAGCATTGTGTCTTTGGCGTTGGGGATCCCCTTGGATTTTCTGGCAGAAGCCACCCTCCATCCCCAAAATAATTCCATAGATGGTGTAAGCCCCAAACCTAATTTAAGATGAGGTTGCTATCCAGATTCTGTGTTTCAGAAACATCTGTGTTTCAGAATGGGGGAGGGGATTGTTCACTCCTCAGGGTGAGATTTTCACCCATCTTTCTTGAAAGCAAGAAAATCCCTTTAAGGTCTTTTGCCAATCTTGTGTGAGAGAAAAGCAAGCATGATCACACTTTAAGTGCCTTCAGAGCCTGATTTCTTACGATGCGCTTAACTGGTGACTGGATTATCCCAATAATGCTTTGCATTGCACAGTGAATCATAAACTAATCAAAGGCTTACACGGCATGCTAAGCCCCGCTGACCCCAAGTCTGCCCTTGATTAAAACTAATCCTGCAGAAACAGTCACTCTTGAAGTCACTCTAGTTAAGTCTTTTGGGGAAACCCAGCCAAAGGGAGGTTATTTGAATCTGGCTTGAAGTAATACCAAATGTTGTGGCACTGCAGCCCAAGGAATAGAGCTATTGGGAGTATTTGGGCAACATCTGGAGGGGCCAGAGGAAAAATTCTGGCCCTCTTTTCAATCCAGTCTATCAATAAGTAGACTAAATGCCAGTAGAGTGATGAGAGGTGGTTTGGGCAGTTCCTGTTTGTTTGTTTTCTCTGTCACATCTGGCGGAATGCAGAAAAGGTGGGCAGAATACAAGAACAAGCCACTAACAAGCTATGATTCCAGGCTCAGATACAATGTCAAGACTGATTAATAGAAACTATAGTTTGTAAACTGGTAGTAAATTGTTTCCAAATGTGTGATTTTGTGTTGAAAAACAAGTCATTCTTTCTTTCTTGGGTTTGTACTTCATGGAACATGCTAAAACAAGTTGATTATCTATGTTAGGGCTTAGTGTTACATGTGAACCAGGCTGCAGAGTCTTGGAAGTGCAGCACAAGGCCTGGACCACCATTGTGGTCGCAGAAGGGAGGGGGGGAGATCCTGGGACCAAAAAGCCTTTGGTGACCTATAAGTCCACTGGAGTTGGGCGGCCAATAAATTTAAATAAGTAATAATAATAATTAGCAGTTGAATTCCAGAAGGATCTATGGCTAAGTGGATAAAGCAACAATAAGCCCTGGTTTGTTGAACCAACCCAATAGCTGGATTCAGACGCAATCAGGTTATGTTATATCTTACTTTATTGATACATGCATTGATTAATATGTGACCTCTTCAATGGCTGAGCAGCCTACAAAAATACATACAATTCTAGAATTCCTGGAAAGCTCTAACACTTAACAGTAAATGCTAAAAATCTAAAATTCCCCACGTCTCACTGGAGCTCAAGCTGTTTTTCCTCTTCCTTCTTTCTCTGTTTCCAGTCCTCAACTCAGAAGAAGCTGTCCCACAGGATTCAGTCTCCTCGTTTGCCTACAGCCCTAGTTGCAATTTCCAGTCTCTGCAGCAGCAGCAGCAAAACCTGAAGAATGGTGGGGTTGCAGAACAGCACACGGTTGTCAGCATGAATGATGGGGGTAGAGACCCTGTCACCATCAATGCAGGTAGACAGCTGAGGTTTGGGGGGGTGATGGAAGGAGGTAAATGGGTCTTGCTTTCTTTGGGGTTTTCTTATCCTGCTTGTAGGAGTATCTCTTCAGCTGTCCCACTGAACATCAGCATTTCCTGCCATTTCACAGTGGGATTATACTTTGCTTAGAATCTGGGGTGCCTTTAATTGATAAAGTATTGATAAATCGAGTATTTTCCTTAGATTCCTTATCACCCATAACCCCAATTAACTCCTTTCTGTCTCAGTGGAAGAAATCCTAATACAAAATCATAAGGCATTTGGGTGTTTTGACCTCTATTTGTAATTTCTCTGGGGATACAGAAAAGAAAGCTCCTAAAATAAAGAGAAAGGGGTATAAAGCAGAAAAAGCTATGTGCTGTTCCTTGCATCACTACCGGACCAAATAAAGCTTGTATGCCAGTGTTTTGCAATCTTGTGCTGGCGGCGTCGGGGGATGAGGG